CTGGTATTCCACACCACGGGCTCCCAGCACTACCCTCTTTTAGCACAACTCCCACCGCCATTGCCCAACACATCCGTCGCCTAAAGCCCAAGAAGGCGGCAGGTGCAGATGGCATATCCCATGAACTGCTAAAAGCCCTGTCTCCTAGTATAGCTATCCCTCTCAGCCTAGTTTTCAACCAGTCCTTCGCCACCGGAATCTTCCCTGATGTCTGGAAGGCAGCTGTGGTTGTGCCTATTTACAAGAATAAAGGCAGTAAACTGTCTGCATCCAATTACCGGCCGATTTCACTCCTTTCCACCATTTCAAAGCTCTGTGAACGTGTGGCATTTGGCCACTTATACCAACATGTGAACCCGGTCCTTGACCCGTCACAGTCTGGATTTCGGCGAGGCGATTCGACCGCCTGGCAGTTGCTGAGGCTTGTGCAGAAGCTATATGAATGCAAGGATCAGAAGCAATTTAGCCTCCTATGTTTTTTCGACCTCAGCAAAGCATTTGACACTGTATGGACAAGGGGTCTCCTCCATAAGTTGGCAGCGTTTGGCGTAGCCGGGACGTGTCTGCAGTGGCTCACCAGCTATCTCACTGAACGTCGACAGAGTGTCCGAATTGGACATGCCCTGTCCGCCCCTCTAACAGTCCACTCTGGAGTGCCCCAGGGCTCTATCTTGGGGCCTCTATTGTTCATCGTATACGTTAATGATTTGGCAGGTTTGGATCATACCTCACTCTACGCGGACGATACAGCGCTCCATATAACCGAGCCAGGCTTATTGCAAGCCTGCGACTCGCTACAGTATCACATTAATCAAGTTGTGCGCTGGATGTCGAAGTGGAAACTCCGCCCCAATGTGTCGAAAACGGCAATCCTTTGTATCCCCCCACGACCCTCCAGTGACCTCACCCTCCTTACGACTCGGCTTTTTACTTTCCCTGATGATCCCATTGCTATCAACATTGTTAAAAATCACAAACACCTTGGTATATTTCTTGATGAACACTTGTCCTGGGATTCGCACGTAACCTATATTGAAAAGCGAGTTTGCTCCGCGATAGGCTGCATTTCTCCTCACATCTCCCATCTACACCATGGTTGTCGAATACAAATTTATCACTCTTATGTTCTTCCTTTGTTTGATTACTGCTCTCTCGTTTGGTCCTCCGGTCTATCCTCCGCTCTTATGCATCGGTTAGAAGTCACCCACCGTAAATTACTTCGATTAATATTTCGCATGCCCCCTCTGACCTCCTCTCAGACGCTATACATTTTGGCTTCCTCTTCCCCTCTCTCAGAACGCTTTCCCCACTCGGCATGCAAATTCATTCACCGTATTAAGCTTCAACTTGCTCCTCCTCATGCACTTGCGCATTTAAGCTGGTTCAATAGTAGCTCGCGTACTAGATGTTCTCTCCATTTCCCACTTGCCAGGTCATCGATCCTTTTAAAATCCCCTCTGTTCAAGTCCTATTCTCATTGGTCTCGGCTTCCGCAGGAGGTAAAGTCTCGTGACACCTTCGCTGCATTTTGTTCCATTCTGCCCGCGCCTAAGTTGAATTGAATTGAATTCGTTGTTTTCCATTGCTAGCCTAATCTTCATACTGCTCTCTCCAGGTTCCTATAGTACTCCTTTTGTTTTGTTTTCTTTTCTCTTTTTCTTCTCCTTCTTTTTCTCAGTTGTCCCCACCATGGCTGGTTAAAATCGCCCGCATCACATGCTTATTGGCACTATGTCATCGTGATTGTGAAATAATAATAATAATAATAATAGCTCATCGTGCATGTTGTTAGAACTGATGGAAATGCTTTTTCCTTTGATTAGCTACATCATTGTATTGCAAAAACGTTTCAATGAGATACTGAAGTAACGTCTTCTGCATAGCTATGGGACCGGCGCTGACTCTGCCGATCACGGGCGTTCTGGAGTCGACGAGATGTCTGTCCTGACGTTTCCTGGGACCGGCGCTGACTCTGCCGATCACGGGCGTTCTTCTTCTTCTTATTATTATACTGACGGCAACTAACATCCATTCTAATTGCATTTACTCGTCTCCCTACTTCGTATTTCTTTCCAGAAAATCTCCCCATACAGTAGGGAGTCGTTTACATAATAATTATGACTCCCTGCTATACATCTACATGACTGTATAAACGTTATAATTATTATGCTATCGGCCTACATGCGATTCCCGGGCTGGTCGACAGGCGGCCCAGCCAGCCTGCTAGTGGGATCTCGGCCTCGCACACAAATCCACACAAAATGTTACTGCACTGAATGCATTCCCCCGATACACTTCGCATATACTCATTCTCTTGATGGTACCGTACTCTTGATGGTACGGGACAGGTACGGGATAGCGCCAGGCATGTCGATCGCACAAACAAACAAAAATATTGTGGCCAGCTGTCTTTGCTGGTACGGTAAAGCACGGGACAGATACGGGATAGCGCCAGGCGTGACACAAACAAACAAACAAACACCAAACGAGAGAGCTTGGA